ATTACAATAATTATAAGCTCTAGCATAACGCACTGTGACTCCTGTCATTTATAATTACGTCTCTTACCAGAGAGTTTGGCTGGGGAGGCGTTGCTGAATCTCCTGTTGCCTTCTTGGTAACCGGCTCGCGTCCAGTCAGAGATCGAGCAATGGGCTTGGCAGTTAAGCTCTCTGTTGGCAGCACTGACCGCTGGACTTGCTGCACAGCATGTCCGCCTGGGTGTTTGCCACCAGCTATTGCTGGGCTCCTGGGCAAGGTAGCTGCCCTGGCACCGGCTATGGACATTTGGCGATGTTTTGGCTTTGGGTCTTGATTTAGGGCCGGTCTGACTGTTTCGTACCTATTCGATTCAAAACTAGATGCTAGTGTGGAGACACTAGCAGACCTGGACGGAGCAGCTTGTCCAGGTTTCGGAGAGGGCTTGGGATCAGCTGGGGCAGATGTCGCCGCCTCAGTGCCATCTGGTTGGCTACCGCCAGCCGCTAGTCGTGCGTGGTCACAGAGCGGTGGTCGTGAAGGAGACACAGGATCAAAAGTCACTACCGGCTGCACTCTGTGACCTGTAGTGGGATCCTTAGTTTCCACTGTTCTTGCTGTGTTGTGGGGAGTGACGGGCTTTGGGCGAGTAGGAGGCTTGGGGGCTCGACTGGTTTTCAAAGGTAGACTTTCAGCCGATTTCCCTTCCCGACCGGCTGAATTCAAGGCCGCTATCATTGCAGAGACGCCGGTGGGCTTGGCGGGAGATGCGTGAGTGGCCTGGGGTTTAACAACAGACTTTGGTTTGGGTGCTATGGCTGGCGGAGACCGAGTTGCTTGGCTAGGTGTTGGTGGTGGGTTCCCGGTGAACCGGGCTGGTTGACGTCGAGTTACTTTATTTGCTGCACCTTCATTGCCTGTGTTAGAGAGGACATAGAGAAAAGGAAATAGCCGAATCATTTCACAGCCTCGCAAAATGCCTCCTTGCATGCACACACACCCACACACACACCCACACCCACACCCACACACACACACACACACACACACCCACACACACACACACCGTGACAAGCACCTTTGCAAAACTTCAACGCAGGTTGGTGCCATCAATATGCACTGTATAGATATGTAGCAAAGCAACTCAAGGACATGCAGTATTGTCTGTACATGTACAGGCAGGTGTGTAGCTCCTCTATAGTCAGCATAGTCCGGTCAGTACACCAGAAAATGGTCGTCATACCTACTACATAGTCTTAACAGGCAAAATGGAGGCTATGAGGTTGCCGGTGGCACATGGTCACCACACCACAGATGGCCGAGCTACGCCCCGTATATACAATTCTGTGCGTGTCTCTCAGTCACCTGACTGATAAAGTTTCTACTTACCTCCAACAAAGGTATCCACTGACTGCATGTCATCTAGGAACTTTGAAAAGTTTGCTTTAGGTTCGGTGCTACGCACAATAGTACAGAAAGTGTGGAAAGTCTCAGCTGTACCCCTGCTCAGCATATCTAGCAGTCGGTCATTGTGTTTGGCAGAATTTTTTATCGCCATCAATTCCTTCTTCTGCGCATCGGAGATCAACCGCTTGGCACAGCATTCGACACGAATTGCATCGCAGCTGAGTGCTGCTTGGAGGTGTGGGACCCACTTGCGGAACATCTGGCTTGACCATGGCCATGAGTTGACCGCGTGGTTCTGCAATAACAACATACAGAGTGCATACACTAGACCTTGGCGGATAATGCTCGAAAAAATGGGTAGATTCTGCCTTGAAAAGCAGTGAAATTGGCAGAATAATACAAAACTTATGGCAGGCACTTCACCTTGCCTTGAATTCTGCTCCATTTCTTTATCCACATACCAAACATGCATGAAAGCATCCCGATAAAGTACCAAATTCTCTGAAGACAAAAAAATCTGCCAGCAGTATCTGCCAAGGACTAGCATACCATGAGCTGAGAATCACAGAAGCTGCCAGTAAGGTACGACCAGGGAGTCGTAAAATACCGGTATTTTACAACTCCCTGGCTACGACCAGTACTTAGCAGCATACATGGTGCCATGCAAGTTCTGTTTTTTGTTTGTTTTTGTTTTAGCACTGCCAGAGATCTATGCTGTGTTGATCAAGTGTTCATCGGGGGACGAGACAGCCCTGGCTAGCTGCAGATATATTCATATGGGCTTATTGCTTGCGTTTGGCCACTGCCATTTCAGGGGCCTGGTTGGCTGACGTAGGCCACATTGAAGCATTACTGTTCACTGAAGATAATCAAGAATACCAGATGGCCCTTTGCACGTATTGGCACAAGTTTTAACAGTCCAATGATAGCATGGAGCGGGTACATGTGTGTGTGTGTGTGTGTGTATGTGTGTGTGTATGTGTGCAGTGCGAGTGTGCGAGTGTACGTGTGCATGCAAACATGTGTGTATGTGTGTGTGTGCACGTGCGTGTGATTGCGAGTGTATGTGCGCATGCAAACATGTGTGTATGTGTGTGCACACAGTAAGATGTCTTTGAGACAACATTTTCAGAATTTGGCAAAGCAATGACGTGTGGACAATTCATACCTCTGCTGTAGCCATGACTGCGACAACAAAAAAAGTCACGGACGTCAGTCACCATCTGTTGTACATGTACACACAATAAACCACACCAAAATAGACGTGGCACATCATGAGTGATGTAGAAATGGATAACATTCTTCAGAATGTTTTCAGCGGGTGCAGATTCAAAAAAATCACGGTTCGCGTGAGACTCGGCCAAATGCCCGGTTTTCCGTATCCGCAGGAACGCCACTACCCTCTTGGATCAAGGCGCAGATGCAGTTCCTAAGCGGTGGGACGTGAGTAGATCAGACTTCCAAGCAGGACTTGAACCTGGTACCCTCTGTTTCTCAATCATGGTCTTAGACCATCCCACTATGCCTGCCTGCAGATTCCAAAGAAACCCTAAAATTTTATACGTGTTTCACACTTTTGTTTCAGTGGAGGCATGGTTCTAAGAGCGTGCACTGAGCATTGACAAGAGTGCATCACCCCCAAGAGTAGGCAGCTCACGCATACAGTTTTGTCCCAACAGAATTTCAAGTTGACAGCATTCTTTTGATGCAATGCTCTTCTGGCCAGACTGATATACGGCGTTTGTACAGCTTATCAAACCATCGAACATTTTTCCTTGTGCTATTTTGTACTAGCTAAGGTCCAGGATATGTCTGATAATCCGCGCACATTGCATCATATTATGACGTCAACTTGAGGAAATTGGCTGCTCTCAACGTCGAGAACGCGCGTCCAGAGTACGAGAAGCATGTCGAGCCCTCCGCTCAGCAAATTTACAAGGAAGCTTCACTCCATTTGCATTGCAACGTGTATCGGGGAGTCCAAACCAGGAGCTCTGGCCCTCCCGGATGGGTTATTCGACCATGCACGGTGAAATAGAAATGCGGAGCTGCTTTTGATTCGCGGGTCGCATTTCTTTGACCGCGACTGTACTGGTACATATACTTCGAAGTAACAGTCCATATATTCCACGCATGCCATGCATAGAAACACTCTGACCAGTAGTCAACGTTCCTCTGTAGACGGAGTTCTTGTAAGACTTTTAATATGATGTACTGTCGTGGACATGGAAAGGGGAGTGAGCCAGCCTTTCGGCCCCGGGAACTGCAGCTGGCTCGACTCGCCTCTACTGAGTGCGTTCGATTATGCACGCGAATCGATTCATGAATCGATTCGCGAATCGATTCATGAATCGATTCGCGAATCGATTCGCGCTATTCACATCACCCCATGTGAATAGAGTGAATGGATTCCGAATCGATTCCAATGCTCATGACATGAAATCGAACGACTTGAATGCGCTTGAATCGATTCATGAATCGATTCAAGTGTGTAATCGAACGCACTCACCGAGTGAAGAGAACCCACACCTATTCACCGTACTTTACTCCCAATCGCAGTACACAAGCAAAATAGTCATTGAGTTGTTGAGACGCTCAAAGGAGTATGAGCCATGCATACCCGTTACCGGTGCTCTGCGGCCAGTTCAGGAAACGAGAACGAACAACAATCCCCAAGAACCGAACAACACTGGCCAACCACTTACCCAGAATCACTGGAACACCATGACAAACGGGGACGATGAACGTCCAGTGGCGAGCGCTCCTGCAGCCAGGAGTCACGGTTTGCTTGAATCCTGGACACGACTTTGAACGTCGTGGGCGGATAGGCTGTACCGGTTCTCTACGTCGTGACGGTATGGAGCAGTCGAATGGAGCCTCCGAGCCACAAGGAAACTTCGATGAAACCCTTTGGCCAACAAACAGATTCTTACACAGCCTGCACCCAAACAAACTTTGACACGAAGCAGCAGACGGCTAAACTAACTGTAACACCACCTCGCTGCCTACAACAACTCGTCTACAGGCTGCCTGTACTGGCGGTAGCATGAAAAACTGAAGAAACTACAGCTAGCGCTGCAGTGAAAATATTTCACCACGAAGCTCCAGTGTGGAAATGGTGCCCGTTTCGCCGAGGTGAGCTAGCTACCGCGTAGATCTACCGCAGCAGCAACAGCAGTGCGTGAGGGTGGCCCTGGCCGGGTCCGGGTACGGGTGGGTAGATCTACGCGGGTCCGTGTTACGTTTTGTGGATGACATGCCTGTATCGGTCATACAACCTCTGTCCGCAGAACTGGCCTGGATGTCCAGACAGTCATGTTGGGGTTGGGGGCCAGTTTGGAGTTCGCAAAACGAACGGACTGAACAGCATACCATACACTAGTCAGAACAACAGATGGCTTGGTCAGTCACTGATCAAGCCATCTGTTGTTCTGCCTAGTGACAGTACTGAGTAGTGTGTCACCATGGTCACGGACTAGCTCTCTTGGATTTCTGCCACACAACAGTGTACATACATTATACATACATGTCCAATGACAAGGAAGCGAATGAGGTCCAAGTAACCCAGGTACGTATGGGAAAACTTGGAAAGGTGACACAGATTAAAAGAAAATATGCTGCTACAGCACCGAAACGACGAGCGGCGACCGTGACGCGTGATGGCACCACGGTCCAAGAACATGAAACGAGGAATAGTCTGGAACGAGGAAGTCGAAGACGGTAAGAGACCTCGGCTTGCACAACTCATTCCTCCCCGTCCCCCATTGAAGTAATTCACTTGCATGCGATTGAGGAGGATACAGTTCTTGCATGGCAGGAAAGGAGATTGAAGGAGGTCACGAAGACGAAATGTATCTAACGTTGGGTGGTGCACCCAGTGCCCGCAGTGTCGCCAGTGCGCGGTCCTGGGAAACAGTTGCTCAGCTGCACCCATGGTTTCCTACAATACAGACAGTACAATAGTCCATTCAGAAAAAATATGATTTCTTAGCTTTTGGCCATAAATGGGTCAAATTTTGAGTTTTGTCACAAGTTATTTGACAAACCCCATGGAATGCGCTTCCAATTGTGTTTTTGAAGTCTATTTCTCGGAAGAGCAAGCCATAACGAGAATAGGAGTTCAGCCTGGTTTTGCCCCCAAAGCACTGAATAGGGGAAAAACCATGAAAATCCAGGCCGTTCACTGCACTTGCATAACAGTACATTCGCGGTTCGAACCACAGTTGAGGCACCTTTTTGAACCCTTTTTCAAGTTTCGAATCTCGCGGCACTGCACGGTGTACCACAAAATCACGAAAATCACCAAACATGGGAGCTCTCCAAAGCCAGCGCTCGTCTTTTTCTGAATGGACTGTAGACCGTGCAGTACATCTAATATCGAGAGAGTTGGCGAGACTAAAACATAATTAGGATTGGGGAACTGCATGCACTGGTGCCAGAGAAACTCCAGCACATCCGCAAAGGAACTGGAATTATACTTCAATACCGGGAAGAATGCCGGGACCTGCTCTACTTCATCGTCGACTCTCACAGCAGATTATGTTGGAAATTCTCCCAGTACACTAGCATCCATCTTCATGAGAAATGAGAAACCAGAAACAAAACAAAAGGTTTGAGCGCGGGTCGTACTGTGTCAAATATATTTATTGCAACATCTCAAGATGCAGTGGAAACTGCGGCCAATGTGAAGAAAGTGGGTGATAGGCAGCCATGGCGATAAACATAAGTAAGGGTGTGAGGAGGGGAAACGAAAGATCTAGGAATCGGTATTTCGGCCCTGAAACGCCCTTTGGCACGATTGGACCTGATCTGGATTGTTCAGCGCATTCAGGAACCCATTCAAGAATAGGCCCAAGAGTCGATTCGAGAATAGACCGAACCGGGGGACTTGAACCCGGTACCCTCCGTTTATCAATTATGATCTTAGACCACCCCACTATGCCTGTCAACCCATAGAATTATCTACAATGTACACGATGTTTTGTGACCTGTCCATTTTCCCTGTAGCATTCCGGGTTCAGCTGGCTGGCTTTCGCGATGCCACCGAGTATGAGCATTTTCACGGTGGAGATCTGGTAAGAGGTTTCGCTGATGTGGTGCTTTGAACTTCACATATAGTCAACAACAACAGCAACAACAACAACAACAACAACAACAACAACAACAACAACAGCAATTGGCGATGGTGCCATCGTGATAATAAAGAATTCAAACAAACAATATCTCTTACTGGCCATTGGCCATCGCGAGAATAGAGATTTGAAAAACAACAACATACGTAAGCAAGTCCGTTGCTCCCCACAACGAAGCTCGTACTTTCTGCCAACTTTACTTGACACTTGACCCCACGTCCAAGTCAAGTCAGCCGAAAAGCGAGCGCTCCAGTGTGGGGAGCAGCCAACTTTCCTATAAAAATCAATACAGGTCTACTCTCCATACAACGTAAACTCTGGGACCACGCAAAAGTTATGTTATATCGAGAGTTATATTATGTGGAAAACCGTGTGCTAAATACAAGATGTACCTCAAAAATGAAGGGTATTACCCTGATTACAAGGAGGGTTTAACCATGCAAACATATACACACTGTACCACCATCGACATCAGATACCATCAATGCCGCAGAATATATGCACAATAGAACTAAACTGGCTAGCTACGGCTACAGCTTGATTGTACCGCACACGTCAATCTACGTTGTATCGAGTTTGCGCACGTCGGGGACCGCGCCGTAGGGTTAGTTATGCCGAGGTTTACGTTATGTAGGACTAAACTGGCCTAAACTGCCTAGCTACAGCTACCACTTGATCGTACCATGCACTTTTTTTATGTTGTATCGAGAGTGCGCAGGTCGGGGACCGCGCCGTAGCGTGTGTTATGTCGTGGTTTATGTTATGTAGGATTACGTTGTGTAGAACAAAATTTGTATGGGAGTGATGCTGTCTCGGCGCGGAATTTAATTTGTTTACGTACTAGCGAGGTTTATGTACAAGTGAGAGTTGTTATATCGAGAGCAGACCTGTACAATAAAATAATCACCGAAGTCGCCACCACATCATGTTTACATAAAGTATTTTGTGGAGTATAAACCTCACCCGGATTTTTTGTTACGATGTACACACATCTACCATGGTGATCACTATCAATTTGAACTGATGTGAGAGCATGCATGGTATTCGTTGCTCTAACTTCTGTCTGCACCCGCCGGCTACCATGGCTCATTGATGGTCTCCCGACATGTAATACATTCCCTTTGACTTTGTGTCACCGCCAGATCCTTTTACTTCTGGTGTCCGTTTCATGTTCATCTATTGCTCGCTTGCGCGCTGGCATGCAACTCGCGTGCTCTCATGCGTACAGTGCGTACAACGAAGAACTACGTCAGTTCCAGTTAGTTTTTTAGAGTTGGACGTGGAACAAACTTGTGTTTTTCGCTCTCCCACATTCTCTGCTTCTTCTCCAATTCTCCAACCCCGTCTGTACCGCTATCAAGCGATCGTGTGGCAAGGAGAGTTGTTTGCCATGACGCGCATGGGGTTCGGCCTCAACGTCGCGCCGAAGATCCTCGAGATGGTCGTGAAGTGGGTGACCAAAGACCTCGACGGCGTGGACAACTATGTCGACGACTTGCGTGTGCCGGACTCCCAAGTGGCGGCCTCGATCCAGCAGCTCGAGCGCTACGGCCTGAAGTGCAAGCCTGCCGAGAAGCTCCCTACTGCTCGGGTGCTGGGCCTCCAGCTCTCGACTCAAGACGGCACGATCAACTGGCAACGTCGCCGTGACGTCTGCCTGCAGCTACCAGAGGCGCCCACCAAGCGCGCCGTGTTCAGCTGGTGTGGCAAGCTCGTCAGCCATTACCCCGTCTGTGCGTGGCTGCGACCGACGACGAATTGGCTGAAGCGAATGATCGGCGAATCCGTCGGCTGGGATGTCGCCGTGCCACCTCGTCTGCTGCAGCTCTGCCGCGACCTCCAGACCCAAGTCAACGAGCACGATCCGGTGCGTGGCGTATGGTCGGTGCAGCATGACGACGCAACGGAGTGGCACGTGTGGTGCGATGCGTCGGGAATCGCGCTGGGTGTCGTGATGCAAGTCAACGGCGAGGTCATCGAGGACCGCAGCTGGCTGCGCCCGGCTGACGACAAACGGCATATCAACATCGCTGAGTTGGACGCCGTCATCAAGGGCCTCAACGCGGCTGCCAATTGGCCTGCGCGGAAGATCCGCCTCCACACGGATTCCAAGACCGTGCATGGCTGGCTTCGTCAGATCCTCGGGAACGAGCGCCGCGTGAAGGTTGGCGGGCTCCACGAGCTGCTCGTCAAGCGTCGGTTGCAGATCATTGACGACATCGTCGCCACAGCTCGCCTTGACGTGGAGGTGGACTGGGTTCCGTCAGAACAGAACCTCTCCGACCAGCTCACGCTCGTTCCGACGTCCTGGCTGGCCTGCACATCGGATAACAGCGCGACGGATGTTGCTGCCAGCCTCGCCATCATGCCGAGTCTGTCGATGGCCCAGATCCTGGCCGGGCAGGAGGACGATGGTGCACTCCAGGCAGTGAAGGCCGTAGTGATCGCTGGGGACGACCTCCCGCCTGACAGCGGCTTCCGGAACATCCGCGGTCAGCTGCAAGTTCAAGACGGCGTCTTACAGCGCAGCGTCAAGCTTCCGCCGAACGACGTCAAGTGCGTTCCTGTGCTTCCTGCTGCGCTGGAGGAGCGGGCCGTGCGTGCAGCCCACCAGGTGTCTGGCCATAGTGGCTGGGAGGCGACGTGGCAGTTGCTTCGATCCCAGTGCCATTTCTTGGGCATGGGACAGCGCTGCCAAGCGTTTGTGTCCGGATGCAGCAGCTGTCAAGCCGCCAACCCACGCCGCGGAGAGGCGACCGAGCCCACTCCTCCGGTATCAGCCAACGGCCCCTGGGATGTGGTGCACATCGATACCCTCGAGCTCGGCGTTAACCGGTCCGGGCGTTACCACTGCGTGTTGGTATGCGTGGATGCATTCACCAAGTGGGTCGAGGTGGTTCCCCTCAAGCGTCATGACGGCATCTGTGTGGCTAGTGCTTTCGTCGACGTGTGCTCTCGGTGGGGTCCTCCTCGCGTGGTTCGATCCGACAACGGCACAGAGTTCAAGAACGCTGTCATGTCTTCCGTCTACGAGGCGTTTGGCGTTCATGTCTGCTACGGCGCAGCACATCATCCCCAGTCGCGACTGGGGATGATGTGCTGCACCCGTCGGCTACCATGGCTCATTGATGGTCTCCCGACATGTAATACATTCCCTTTGACTTTATGTCACCGCCAGATCCTTTTACTTCTGGTGTCTGTTTCATGTTCATCTATTGCTCGCTTGCGCGCTGGCATGGAACTCGCGTGCTCTCATGCGTACAGTGCGTACAACGAAGAACTACGTCAGTTCCAGTTAGTTTTTTAGAGTTGGCCGTGGAACAAACTTGTGTTTTTCGCTCTCCCACATTCTCTGCTTCTTCTCCAATAATTATATGAACACTGTTCGCCAAAGAACTCGTTGTGGACGTTGTTGCGAGTGCGTGTCCGGGAGTGAGTTGGGGCGGTCGTGATTATCTAACACTGATTATATTCACAAAGAACGATATAGGGCTTGAACGTGCTACTTTGAAGTACATGGCAACCAGGCTGTTGTCATGAGAACACTGACTTATGGATCCACTCAGTCGGATCTAGTTTTGGCTCATGGCCCGGACAACAGTCACACTTGCATGCAAAGGGGGTCTACCGTATCTTCAGGAGTATAAGCCGCACTTGCGGTATGAGCTGCATCCAGATTGTTGTCACGAAATACTGACCTCTATCCTGCTCATGACGGTGAATTTGACCATCGTGGCATAAGCCACACCGACTGGTTGTGGTTACAAGTACATTACTGGTGTTAAATAAATACCCTACCCACCAATATACTGTACATAACATTGTACTTCGTTATGGTCTCGCAGTGGATCTGACTTTGAACCAGAAGTCGTTATTTGCTGACTCCCGCCTGATAATAATTATCACGTTCGAGCCATATTTGACATGGCAGATGACATGTTGATTGCACTATAATCTGAAGGAATTTATGCCTTGTAGCTAATGATACTTTTTCTCATGGAGTGCTGACCACCAATTTGTGGAGATTGTGGACTGGAAGGTTGATGGCAGCCTAGTAATTTAAGTAAAACTTCTGTCGGGCATCTAAGTGTGAGGTTTTGTACCGTTACGCTGTTTGAATGCACCGTGCAGTCGAACACAAACTAGTCCCTATGGCACCATTATTAAAAGTTGTTTTTCTCCATGTCGTCTCTCTCCCTCCTTCTCTCTCTCTCTCTCTCTCTCTCTCTCTCTCCCTCTCTCTCTCTTCTCTCTCTCTCTCTCTCTCTCTCTCTTTCTCTCTCTCTCTCCCTCTCTCTCTCTCTATCTCTCTCTCTCTCTCTCTCTCTCTCTCTCTCTCTCTCTCTATCTCTCTCTCTCTCTCTCTCTCTCTCTCTCTCTCTCTCGGCGTGTTCCTCTTAGCCGGATCGCTGGCCCAACGGCTTGGTGAAAGTTCTGAAGCTGAAGATCGGCTACTTCTACTGCTATAACCGTAATCGTGAGTGTGCCCACAAGGACATCCACTGCACCAAGATCTACAGCTACTAGGTGCACGATGTACACATGAGCTGCTTGTGATCAGCCATGCATGACTTCTGCATATTGTCAACTGTGACCATGAAGGTAACAGGTGAGAGTAGTCTTCCGCTCCAGCACTCTCCCGTTTATAAAACGAAGTTCACTTTCGAACATTTCCAGTACGTCGAGCATGGCCGTCTCAATTGCAAGCCCCTTCAGTGTATGCAGGTCGACTGGAGTAGGGATTATGAAACATGTGAAGGGCAGATCTGATGCCAGACTGACGTGTGCTCAGATAGAGAGGCCTCACCTCACATGAATGTCCTCATCGGTTACTCCATGTTTCATTGTATACGCTGGTAGCGTCATGCTATTCTCGAGTGCAGTGCCTTTCTTGTAGCTCTACAGTAGCCAGCATGTGTATGATATTCTCGCACCTACTTTAGCTAGCATGTACTCGAAGTATGTGATAATCTCGCATGCAGTTACTTGCATATAAATCTAGGTCTAATGCAGCTAGCACTTTCAGTGTATAACGCTCAGCATATAGCAACGGACATCGACTTTTATATTCTTGCACTAACCCCCCCCCCCCCCCCCCCCACCACCACCACCACCAGGGGGACTGCCAATGCATCATATAGCTGCTGCGGTTGTTTCCTTCCATCTCTGCACTTGTGATTGCTCTGGTGTGAAGGCACTGCTTGTTGATCAAGTCTTGAGACTTTCTACTTTGTATAATGTGCTGGTTTGACAAATCTTCCACTCTACGTCTTCGCGGCTTTTCATCTATTGTGGTGACAGTACTCATCTGTTTCAATTGATAACGCCGCACCTTTTTCTTTTTGTTACATGTACGCAAACCCTTTCTGTATGCAATTGTAAGGTGATTTCTCCCTCTCTTCTCTCTCTCTCTCTCTCTCTCTCTCTCTCTCTCTCTCTCTCTCTCTCTCTCTCTCTCTCTCTCTCTCGCTCTCGCGCACGCACTCTCTGTATCTCGACCGACCGACGTAACATAATTCTCAAAGTGACCCTATACTCTTGGCTGGACCAGAGCAACGTTACCATTATGCGTACATGTACGGTACACATCTGCACGCATACACAGAGCCAATTAGTCGGTTCTTCAATTTCTAGGAAGGAAGTAATGTGGCTGGTGACCAATTCAACCTATGGGGTTTTGTCAATCACTGACAAAAAAAAGACTACTATGTACACAGTTATAATGAGTATGTATGTGTAGAGAGCTGTTGAGTTTTAGAACTAATATTCTATGTATAATATAATACATCATATCCAATCCATGGACAGCATTCTATATACATAATATCTATATAATTATAATATGCCTCCAACCTAATGTATAATATGTACATAGACAATAAGCATTTCAGGACAGTGCCTATGTAGAATGATGGCCTGAAAGAACTGGACACCAAACACATCATGCATATGGGTCCCCAGCAGAACAGGGTATGCATGTGCAAACAAAAAAACTCAGCATCACAAAAAAACACACAGTGTGCACCAGTTGTCCATCACATGACCTAGCCGCAGCAGAATATCTACACTGTACACCGCCTTGGCATACATGCATGTAGAAGCCGATCGATCACTGGTGTCTACAAATGGTCAGGTAGCTGAAGAGTAGACACTGAGTGATCAGAATGGAGTGCAATAAGCGTATCGCCATCCACCATCAACTGCGGTGAAAAGGATTTACTGGATCGCGGCGGAAAGACAGAACAACGGCCTATACACGTACTGCAATCAACACACATGAAAGCATTGACAGTTTTAAAATCATCACCCATACAGTACACGGGCATGATTATACTGTTACCCACAGCAGCTGATACAACACAACTGAATACATCTACATCAAGAGTCATCATGTCCACTTTGATCTCGAGCCATGATGGCATTCTCAGACTTTCCTCACTTACATCCAACTTCATGATTGACAAATGCGTTGACAAATGCACATCATTGAGGTCTCTCCTTGGTATCACAAACAGAGTATCGTCAGTGCTGCAGATGCTGTCCGGCGGCTCCGGCAAGCTGAGCAGATCCAATTTTGCCCATGCTGCACCATCATGTCTGGTATCTAATGAAAAAACTTCTAAGAAATGATTGCGCCATAAGCATACTATTAGAAGCGCTGACTGGGTTACGAATACATCCCCACAATGCGTCCAAGATGTATCCGTACCCGTAGCTGGTACTGAGATAAAATCACATTGTATTTCTCTAGTACAACAGTTTCCCTGTAGATCAAAAACATAGATATAGGGGATATCCAGGTTCCTGTCCCTATAACTAAGACTTGCAAAGTACAATTTTTCATTATGAAGGCAAAATCTCCTGCATGTCCAAAAGGGTGGGCTGTCAATGCCGATTACTCTTGTCCATGTAAGCTGAATACTTTCCTTGAGAGAATGAGTAGACCGGTAGATCACTGGTACTTCCTCCTCCTCCTGGCACACAATGTAAACATGCCCATTGTACATGGTACAACGACGGAACATGGTCCAGTTAGAAGGTACACGGCCACGGAAATACCACTGCAGAATATCAAAAACGGAAAGGAATAAAGGAATACAAAAAAATGGGCGGAGCACATTTTCCAGCACAGCTCTGCAGGCGTTTTCAGACAGGGTATGCTACTTGCGAAATACACCACTCCTCACTGCAAGTTGCAACCATACCTAATAGTGAAGAATATTGTGCATTGCGTCTTTTGCCCAAAGATAAATAGAGAGTGGAGCAGGAAAATGCTAGTGAGGAGGAGGAGCTGGGGGGGGGGGGAGGGGGGGGGGTTATCATTTTTGTCTCAACAGTCCATGGGGTGCACAGGGATGGGGAAGAAGAGGAGGAGGAGGTAGAAGAAGAGGTTGGCAATGCAGTGATAATGGTTCATGAAAGTAACTGTTTCCGCAGTTAGACATGGGTAGGTGACATTCACATAGGCTTCTTTCTGTTCGGTAGTTTTCCCTTGCTGAATCATAATGTTGTATCCTGACCATCCACATTTAATTGAAAATAAAGATTGAAGTATCACTGAAGTCGCTGCAACCTCTTCTTACAAATATGATTATTAAATCTCTATTTCTCAGATGTCAGTGAAATACAACCGTGCACCATACTCCACGTCAAATGTTTAACCCTTTGAGACCCCACTGAAAGTACGACAATTTACGCACCTTCAAATGACATGCACTTTCGCTCGTATCTCTATGAAACATTCACCGATTTTTACAAACTAACCACCGTTGGAAAGGTATTTCCAAGACGAAGAGAATAGTGCCACACTCAAGCCAACTACCTGCACAGCCTCTGCTCCGCGTGGCCTATAATGCCGCCCAAAACAGCAGCCGTGCGCGAACAGCTTCAGCAAAGTTCAAACAGCCGCCATTCCATTCTCTTTCATCGCATCGACTTCAAATAAACTACAGCGGAAAGCTCGTTTCAAGCGCAAAATCTTGGTGTGCAGCATGCTTGAGTATGACGTACCATTCCGGGGAAATCTCATGCCAAGTGCAGCGTGAAAATTTGAATTTTTCGATCTGAGTGCATTTTTCAGTTTGTCTCCGACTTCGAGTCTCACCACCGCGGCATCGTAACTCCTAGAGACTTCGGGTAACTTCGACATGATAGCCAAGGGTCTTCTCGAAACGTAGATACTTTGTTTATGAAAATCGGTGAAGGAACACCAGAGATATAATTATTTTAGTGTCACTGTATACCAAACGATCGAATTCGATCGTTGGGGTCTCAAAGGGTTAAAGGGGTAGAGGCGACGGTTTGAAATAGGACACAGGTTGCAAACTGGAACGGACTCAATATTCACTTTCTCTCTTGGAATTTTGATTAGAAAACATATGTCACATGCACAGTGAGACTACGATGTTTTATACTCCGAGCCAAAATTTCATGGCTCTGCGATGACCAGAAGCGCCATATCAAGCAGGTGAGTTTTTGTCGTGTTGCTTCGCACTGCGACTTGAGTTTTACGACTTTCGAAAATCAACTTCTTGTCGCAGGTGAACAGCGGCTCGCCTCTCGCCAATAAAGCACCGCATACCAATCAAAACTAATGGAAGCACACAGAAGGCTTATTGTTACTCTGTACTGGCCGTCGTGGAGCGATAGCAATTACCTAATTTCAGACCCAGAGTGAATTTGACGTGCACTCTAAAACGTGTCCGGTTTGGAGCCACCTCTGATTTGAAAAAATTGGGCAAATTGGAGGCAATGGGTCAACACAAAGGAGTGGCTCAGTTCGATTGACTCTGGCCCCCAGAGCAAACTTCAACATGCCAGTTTCCTTCCACAAACATATTTCGAGTGAAAAATCAACGCTGATGATCGGTTTGGGTCTATACAAATTTGGCTGTCAAAGCGTCCCGTATCGAGCCGTCCCCTCTACATGTCCCTCCCCCCCCCCCCCCCCAACACACACCCACCTAACATGACCAGACCTAAAACTGTCTTTGCGTTACCTATGATGTTTGCATCTAGTCTCTTCTTACCTGGGACTTAAATTGCGGCCGGAGAGACAGCTCATTGTCAGCTCCCTGGATTTCTACTGCACGTCCAGGATTGGCCGAGACACGGGTTGAAATGGCCTCTTCAGGATCTGCAAGAAAGAAGACAAAATATTAAATTAAAAAGAATTGCAGGAAAACAGATTCAAGCCTGAGGCATTTCTCTGCACTGTCCCAAAGTCACTACCACTATTCCGTACTGTGATGATAACATCACTTTTTTGAAGTACACAACATTCTGAATTCTCTTGCTCGAAAATGTTGTTTGTGACAGATACAAGTGTTGGCGTTCCTGCCGAGTGACTTGACACTTGACTGACACACGACTGCCGTCTTGAGCATACCAGGAGCACGTCCAACCTTCCACTCGGCAAACCTGCAAGAAAGTACCACTCCTTGCTCGACGTGATTCTCGTGTGCTCCAGACGGCAGCAGCCGTTAGTCAAGTGTCAGTTATTTGGCAGAAAGCATCAGATGCAACATTCGGAGGTTCCGCTTTCTTGAAACTATGATGCAAATGAAAAAGCAAGATGATTTGACATTCCTTTGAAATTCCCATCGGAGGGACATGATTGAGGTCAGAAACAACAACACGTGTATTAAGCCTAGCAAACACACACACATACACACACACACACACACACACACACTCACACATTACTACTACTATCAATCAGCCACCCCAGTGGGGTCACGCCGCCCTCCACTCAGAGAACTGAGCGCAAGGTGAGGGGCAGTGGCGCAAAACAAAACAGGAAGTACAGCAGAATGAATTGAAGAAAAAAAGGAAATCAAAACAAGCTGCCATATTGATGGAAAAGAACTCACCAACAGAGGAAAGAAATATCACAAACCAGGTGAACAGTCTGCTGCAGGTCCAATAA